TAACCTGAAGTGTCTGTAACCTGAAGCGTCTGTAACCTGAGGTACCACTGTGCACAGATACCAATAATGTAAAGGACTTTTAAAGCAACCCCTCTCCCCAAAAACAATTCTGGGAACTGTAGTTTACCCCTCACGAAGCTATAATTGTAGGCACCCATAACAAACTACACTTCCCAGGCTTCTCTGTGGGGAAAGCGTGTTTTAAATGTATGGTGGGTACGTAGCCTCTGTGATGAACAGATTGAGATTGTTATGCTTTCTCTCACCTCTTTTAAAAATTCTAGGCTAGTTCACTTTATATGGAAAAGCTGTCTCTTTAAACAAAACCATAGCGAGTTATATTTCAGCAACTAACTTTAAAAAAAAGAATGACAATTTAATCAATCAGCACCATCCACCCCTCTGGAAAAGAAAAAAGGAAGCAAAAAGAACCCAGCTAACATAACCTATAATCTTTGTGTGGTTCAATCACTCTGAAACAAGCCCGCAGCATCAATGTTTATTAAAGTCATGGGAGCAGGCATATTGACCTCGGAAATTGCAAAGCCGGCACCTGTGCAGCTGGCGCAGGCTCAGTTTTATAGTTAACAAATAGACTGTGATGTTTTCCCTTTTTGTCTTTTGTGGCGACAACTAATCTTATTTATATACAGCGCCAATCAATCCATGTGGCACTTTGCAAGGTGGCTTAAGCAAAACAGAAAGGTCCCTGCTCCCCAGGGAGTTTGCAGATTAAATTTAGAACATGAGGGTGACAAGGGGACAGGGAAGGGGGACAGGAGAAGGAAAGGAAACAGGGAATTCATGCATGTGCTGCAGATAATAAGCTTTTATGAGGACTAAGAGGAGGTGCCACAGATAGAAAGAGGGGCTGCAGCTCAGTGGCACAGCACATGCTTGGCATGCAGAAGGTCCCAGGTCCAATTTGTAGCATCTTTAGGTAGAGTTGGGTTGGGAAAGAAACTATGGGAAGCTGCTGCCATTCAGTGTAGGCAACAGTGGGGGTTGGTCCCTTACTTTTATCTATTCCATAAAATTTATAGTAAAAAGAACAAACAAGCAAACACTCAAAACTGTTTACAAAAAAGATAAAACACATATGGGGTAAGGCGCTCTCACAGGTAAACTGGTCCTAAGTTGTTAAAGACTTTATAAACTAATAGTAACACCTTTAAGTTGGCCCAGTAGCAGATTAGCAACTAGTGCAGGTCTCAGAGCAAAGGTGTTACATGCTGACAAGGTGAATGGGGCCCTGCCCTACCAACCTCACCAAATCCCACCTGCCTGCCTTCTTACTCAGATCCAGTTCAGAGAGCAACACTGCCTATCTGCTTCCTCCTTCTTTGTCTCAGTGTAGAAGTCTGCAGGAGAAATGCCATCTGCCAAGGCTATAATAAAAACTAGGTTGTGGGATATTGAACGCCAAGAACTAACAGTAGCAGCAGAGAAAACAGGTTCCCCTCTTTATTTTCAACTTTCTTGGGCACATGAAACTAACCACAATTACCTTGAATTTCTGCTTAACCCTCAAGAAAGAAGGGCATTTTCACTGGCCAGGTTAAATTCAAATCCATCAAACCTCCTTTGGGGAAGGTTCTCAGGCAGGGTGGAAGGAGAAAGAACTTGCCCATGCGAAGACCACCTGGTGGAAACCCTTACACATATGGTTCTTAATTGTAAACTATATGCTGATTTCTGTCAGCAATTTCTAGATCAACTCTGTATCCCCAAATGGAAACCAGAGTTGGAGGTCATACATTTTCTATTACTGGGGAATGATCAGGTGCTCACCAAGTTAGTGGCTAAATATCTCTGTTTGGTTTTTTGTCATCAAAATACACTGCAGACATCTGATCTCCCTGGAGACCTAGAGATATGACGATAGACTGCTCTGCCTCCTTTCTTTTAGTAAATGTTTTGTGCCACTGGGGAAGTGGTAATTCTGAATTGATTTGTTTTTTATGTTTGTATGTGATGCCAATAAAAGGTTTGATGATGAGGACCAAACTATAATTAGTTGGCTCTGCCTGACATTGGCTCTGGCTCAAGCCATTTTTGGCCTCCACCCCAACCTGTCCCAATGGACACCAGTCACTGCTGATCCTATGGTTTTCTTTTTCTGCTGTGGCCAGTGGTAAGTATGCAGCCTTAGATTATAAACTCCTTGGTGACAGAAACTATCACTCTCTCCCCCCCCCCCCCCGTAACTCTGTTAGGTGCAAGACATACATTACCCCAAATCTACTGATCAATCGATCAATCAATGCAGAAGGATCAAAACCATACGGAGTGCAATTGTCATTCTCTCATGGATGACAAGGAATAGATGGCTATATTGTATAACTGAAATGCACTTTCCTACCAGTCAGGTAGAGACTATGATATGTGAGCACGACATAAACATGATCCATCATTTTCTTATCTCCAGTGCAGAGAACAAACTTATATGCAGGTAACGGCTGCTGACTTGTATAGTTTTGAGAAACCAAGGTGTTATGTACTGAGTTGAATAGGATCCAAAATGCAGTAGTCTGACTGGTCCTAGAACAATAGGATTCAGAATGCAGCAGTCTGATTGGTCCACAGGAGCCACCCAATCCAGCTCCAGGAGGAAGTGAATACGCAACCTGATTGGTCTACAGGAAAATCCCGGAATTAGCCAATCACGTGGGGCCGATTGTGTAAATAATGTATATAAAGCAGACATTCTGGGGGAACTTCCATTCCTCCTCACCACTATGAGCTGAATAAAGAGCATGAAATCCACTCTCGACTCCAAGTATATTTCACAAGCTGTTATATTTTCCATATGTCTGGCTTGGCGTAGCAAAAGGCAGATAGTACCCAGGTGCGCAATCTGGGCTTACAACAATTTCTATCTACCTATGACTGGTGCAGGTTCATAGTCCATTTATATTCTCATTCTTGGTACAGAATAGAACAAAATGATATCCTGGTAAGAGATGCTGGCATGAACATCAGTTATTTTGCAAGGCACGCACACACACACACACACACACACACACACATGTTAGAAAGAGAAATATATAACTGTCCTGTTTTCAGATTTGCTAGGAGTCAATGCATTTCTACTACAATTTTTTTAAGCATTATGCCTAACAATATGTTACGGTTTATTTATATACAGCTTTTTGGGCCCAAAGGCTGTCAAACTGGAAACTAAAACCAAATTATTAATCCAACAAAAGGTATAATAAAAGCACACTAAAATACTATCAAAGCAATAGAACAGAGCAAAATCCTACTTGATAGTGGCTTATCTATATAGTGAACTGACCAAAATATGACAGTGGTGATCTAAGCTGGGGTTGCATCCAGTGTTAGTAATACTCAGAGTAGGACCACTGAAATGAATGGGGCCTGACTAACATAAATCTATTAATTCTGGTGGGTTTACCCTAAGAAGAACTTAGCTACATCTGACCCACTAGGCTTCCTCACTCCACCCAGTCACAATCTTTCCATGTGATTACAAAGTGGAAATCTCGATACAGCATTTAGAAAGAAAAAGTGAACAGAAAATTGTGTCCTTCCTTCATCCAAAGATAACCAGATGGGGAGCCTTACTGAACAGATTTCAGCTGTCTGAAATCACAATCTTCCAGAATCTTTTACTATAACGATAGTGTTGCTATCTGCTGAATGTTATTTGCTATGGCAATTAAAGCTTGGTGGTTTATTAACTGGTTTTTACAGTTCCTGATCTGGCACTAAGAACAGTGTTTTCCCCAAGTCAAGCAAAGATAGGGAGAGAGGGGAATCCTACTGGGTGGGTTGCACTTAAGAGGACAAGGCAGAATTCACTTACTGTGTCCTAATATGACTCCTTCTGATGAAGTGAATTGGGCAAACTCAACTCCTGCTTGCAACAATCTCCCTTTTTTATACCAACATGTGGTCTTTGGTAGCATGAGCAGGCAGGTAGCAATATTAAGACTGGTCAGAATTTCCTACTTAACCCACCTTCTACATTTTGACCTGGACCCTTACATGGCTTTAAAAGAGGATTGTACAAATTTATGAAGAAGTCTGTTAATGGCTACTAGCCACAACAGCTGTAAACCTCTAAATACCTGTCGCTGAGAAGTGCGGGGAGAGAACAGTTGCACTCAGCTCCTGCTTTCAGGTTTCTCAGGGGCATCTGGTTGTGCACTGTGTTTGGGAAGCTAGTTGCTGCCCCAGTGATCGATCTTTTGCCAGCTATTAAGACTTTTACCGTTTCACTCTTTTGCCAGCTATTGAGACTTTTACCGTATAGTAAAAGCTATGGTTTTCCCAGTAGTAATGTATGGAAGTGAGAGCCGAAGAATTGATGCTTTTGAATTCTGGTGCTGGAGGAGACTCTTGAGAGTCCCATGGACTGCAAGAAGATCAAACCTATCCATTCTTAAGGAAATCAGCCCTGAGTGCTCACTGGAAGGACAGATCCTGAAGCTGAGGCTCCAATACTTTGGCCACCTCATGAGAAGAGAAGACTCCCTGGAAAAGACCCTGATGTTGGGAAAGATGGAGGGCACAAGGAGAAGGGGACGACAGAGGACGAGATGGTTGGATAGTGTTCTCGAAGCTACCAGCATGAGTTTAACCAAACTGCGGGAGGCAGTGGAAGACAGCAGTGCCTGGCGTGCTCTGGTCCATGGGGTCACGAAGAGTCGGACACGACTAAACGACTAAACAACAACAAAGACTCTTACTGTAAGAGCAAGGGGCACATCTGGCTACAGAGATATTAAGCACGATCCATCCTTGCCAGCCCTTCCTCTCTTCCCTGAAAAATATCCTATCTCTGTTTTTTTTATATTTAACTTGTTGAAATATTTTGCACAATCCACGTTGCTTAGAAATGATTCCACGTTTGATGCCTCCACGCTGTCAGGGGAAGGGGTGGGGGCTGGCTCAAAGTGAGGGCATGAAGCTGGCAAGCAGGCGTCAGAGAGCTCTACCAGGCATGCGTGTAAAGGACAGCGCATGTTCAGTAACAGTCCCTAGATTGAGGCGTGTGGAGGGCGAGGCCGCGCCCCGGTGGGTGCAAGGGAAGACTAAGAAGGTCAGCAGCGAGCCAAAGTGCCCCTCAGCGGCAGCCTGTCGCCGTCATGGCTCGGGACGTGAAGAGTAAGCTGTCCAAGAATCTGCTGCGCATGAAGGTAAGAGCACGCTGTGGAGATTATATGAACGGGCGCCGAAGGAAACCGAGCCGAATGGCTTCGGGAAGGGGCGGGGCCAATTCGTTCCTTTCCGAAAAGCTTCGGGTGACAAGCCGAAGAGAGTCGAGCGGCTGCTTTACGGACGACAGGAAGCCGAGCGGCTTCGGGAACAGGCGAGGGTGAGACAGGTCGGATCGAATCTCCGGGGAAAAGGTCAGCCGAACGGCTTCGTGTTTGGAACGGGGCGGGGAAAGGGAAGCCGAGCGCAGCCGAATGGATTCTTAGGCAACGCGAGAGGAGTCGAGGGGCTTCGGGTGGAGCCGGAGAAGGAGACCCCCCCCCTCCATCTGCGCGCTGTAGCTTGGAAAAGAGAGGTGCCGGGGTTCAAGCATGATCACCAGTACCTGCCTCAGTATAATTATCCTAGGACACCATGTTCCTTCTGGTAGGGCAAGCATTTGGAAATGCTCTCTGCCCATGCTCAGAGGCAGAGTTACCCCCCCCCCCATGTTTTCTAGCCTCCAGGGACTAAAATAAATTGGAACCTGGGGCTGAACCGCAACACAAATTAGGTCATGCTTAAATTAAAGTGCCTAACCTAAGTTAAGGTGCATGGAGGTTTGATCTGCCTTCACAGACCTGTTTTGCAAGGTGTTCTTACAAATTTTAGATTTTGGGGTATGCGTTTGACTGGTTTTCAGTGGGAAGCATGTACCAAGTTTTTTTCAGTGCTCAAAGGAAAGTATGTACTGTGTTCTTAGAAAGTCTTCCTTCTCAAGTGGCAGAATTCACACAATTATATTGTTGTTGTTTCAATTACGGTTTATTACCCACCCTTCACCCCAAGGTATTAGGTTATAACACAATATTACAGGTGAAACTCGGAAAATTAGAATATCGTGGAAAAGTTCATTTATTTCAGTAATTCAACTTAAAAGGTGAAACTGCTAAGGTGTTATGGAAGACCAGGAAGCTTCAATAGCAGCCTCCAGCTCTTCTGCATTGCTTGGTCTCATGTCTTTCATCTGTCTCTTGGCAATGCCCCATAGATTCTCTATGGGGTTCAGGTCAGGCAAGTTTGCTGGCCAATCAAGCACAGTAATCCCATGGGCACTGAACCAGGTTTTGGTACTTTTGGCAGTGTGGGCAGGTGCTAAAGTCCTGCTGGAAAATGAAGTCAGCATCCCCATAAAGCTCGTCTGCGGAAGGAAGCATGAAGTGCTCCAAAATCTCCTGGTAGATGGCTACATTGACACTGGACTTAATGAAGCACAGTGGACCAACACCAGCTGATGACATGGCTCCCCAAATCAACACAGACTGTGGAAACTTCACACTGGACTTCAAGCATCTGGCATTGTGTGCCTCCCCATTCTTCCTCCAGACTCTGGGTCCTTGGTTTCCAAATGAGATGCAAAAGCTGCTCTCATCAGAAAAGAGATTTGCAGTGCCACAGGCTGATAGCAACCATGCCATGCCGCATTGAGGCAGTAATTGATGCAAAAGGGGCCCAAACGAAGTACTGAGTACATATGCATGCTTCTACTTCTCAGAGGTCCAATATTGCTCTATTTGCAATCCTTGTTTTGCTGATTTCATTTAATATTCTAATTTTCTGAGATTGTTAGTTTGGGGTTTCATCAGCTGTATGCCATGATCATCACAATTATAACAAATAAAGGCTTGACATATCTCGCTTTGCATGTCATGAGTCGATCTCATATTAGTTTCACCTTTTAAGCTGAATTACTGAAATAAAGGAACTTTTCCACGATATTCTAATTTTCCGAGTTTCACCTGTAGGTATGCATGAAGATTTCTGGACACCCACAGAACAGATGGTTGGTATGGAGTGGCTGATAAAAGTTTTAGGGACTAGGTGTGGAGTTCAGAAAGTCTGAAATGCAGTGGCTCAAAATTAAAGTGAAAATGCAACATTTATCCTTGATGTTACCAATGCAAGCTCCATTTCAGTATAAATGTTTTATCAGAGCCAAACTGATAATATCAGAATCCATGGTGGTTCCAGTTCTGTGACTTTTGTTTGATTTTTTCCATTCAGCAGTAACTTCACATACACAGTGGCCTTATCCCCTGCCTCCTACTAGTTACACCACAGCTTGGAATATATTGGTGAACCTTATCCTAAGACCAGGGTTCAAATCTAAGCTTGGCCATAGTGCTTACTAGGTGACCTTGGGCCAGTCACTGTCTCTCAGCCCAACCTCCCTCCCTTGTGAGGATAGAAGGGGAAGGAGGAGGGCAATGTGTCCCATTGAAATTCTTGGAGGAAACATAGGATGTAAATGTAATGTCACAGATTTTGGACTGTGCTTGTGCTCACTGAGAGTAAGAATGAATGCCACCAGAGCTTTTGAACTAAGCTGAAGTATACAGGATTGTAGGGGAAAGCATCAGAACTTAGGGATATAGGAAACTGCACATGCTACATCAAAATATCTGCCCATCTGTCCATTCTATTGACTAGGGAACAGCTTATGGTCTTAATCAGGGGTTGGCAAGGTTTACCGTGCCTGGGCCAGCTCACTCCTTTGGAGATTGCTCCATGGGTCAGATGCGCATGCGCAGACGTGATTTCCGGCACCGTGGAAGTGAGTCCCTGCTCTGTGCTGTGCCACTGAGCAGGCAGCTCAGTTCGGGGATGGCTCGGGGGGCATTTAAACGACCCCCGTGGGCCGCTTGTGGCTCATGGGCTGCAGGTTGCTTTTAAAGTGGAGATGTCAGGGGTCAAACATGTTTGCACGCATAAAGCTGTATGCAGCATAGGGCTGTATGCACACTAACAAATCTATTTATTCGATTTATGAATTGTCTTGTTCAAGGTGTTGGAAGGTGATGTACAATATAAAACAGCACATAACAGACAGAAAGAAAAATATAAAATCCAAAGATAAAACAAGTAAAGTAATCCAATCTGGGAAAGCGATCAAGATATATACCCCGATCTACAAAATATATCCTCCCATGACTTCACCACAGTATAGTCTATTCCAAAGACCTGTAACGTCAGCACTCAAAATTCCTAGAGGGGGCGGGGGGAGAGCTTTTGCATGCCCCCAAAATGCACATTCAATGCAGATTTAAAGCAGATGGCTTCTCCCAAAGAATCCTGGGGATTGTTGTTTCCCCCTCACAGAGCTACAATTCCCAGCATTCTGAACAAACTGCAGTTCCCAGAATTCCATGTGGGATGTGGGGGAAGTCGTGAGCTTTAAATGTATGGTGTGAATCTGCCCTCAGTTTTATTGGATTGGTAATGCTGTAACTGTGTTAATATTACTCATAATTCCCTCCCACAACTCCTCAGTGTAACTGCGCGGCAGGTTGGGGGCGGGGGAGAGAGAGAGATGAATAAAGCCCTGACCTAGCGATCGCCCTTGGATTTGCGGATCCAGTGTCAAGCCCTTAGTGGAATTAGTCTCGGTTCAGCGGCTAATGGGCTCCGTCGCTGTTCGATAATGTAGCACACAACTCAGTGGAAGAAGAACACGGCAGTGTGATTGATGATCGCTCCGCTTCCAGGGAACAACATCTTGAGTTTAATTGCCATTAATTTTTAAAAATATAAATATTCATTAAGTATTTATAACTCAATATTGCCAGGCCTTCATGGTTTGTTTGCTTCAGTTTTGTGGTTGTGCCGTTCCTGTTTTATCTTCATCTTTGAGATTAAAATTACCTTCACCTCATGTAACAAGCAAGGCGATATTTTTTATTATTATTTTTAAACAAGAAAGGGGGGGGGAAGAAAATATTTTTAGTCTGCCACAGTTTACATTGTACCAGGGGTAGCCCTACATCAGAAGGCAATTAAAAAAAGGTTATCTGGAAATGACTGTGGGTGCAGTGCGATGATCGTCCTGTTTATTCAGAATTAAGCCTTGCTTTTGGTGGTGCGTGCTCAGGACAGAGCCCTAATCTCCAATCCTGTTTACTTGGAAGTGAATTTTACTGTGTCAGATCATTGGAGCTTCTGACCAACCATGGCTAAGATCAGTCAGGAACACTTCCACAGGCCATGTGCTCCAGAGTAATACCATTAACATGAGTTGTGTTCATTTGAGGGTGTTACGGTAAAATCTGGGTGCGGGGCTACTCTGCCACCCAGCTCGTCGGACTAAGTCCGCGGGTCCCTGCGGAAGAAAATGAGCTCAGCCGGAGACAGGAGCAAGTTCCAGGAGATCCGAGTTTATTGCGCAACAGGTTCAAGGCGAGATTGAACAGCGAGAAAGGGGTGACATGAACTTTTGAAATTCCCTCCATGTCCCAGAATACAGTGCAAAATACATCCCAGTTACATCATGAATACATTAAGAAGAGGTTGGGTTACACAGATTACATCACGAATACATTAGGAAGAGGTTGGGTTACACCGGATTAACATATGGAGGAGGGAGGGGGGAATATGCAGAGCTGGAGATATGCGCAGATAAGCACATCCTGAGAAGACAATGGTCCATGTATGCATAGTCTGTCACCTGGCATCGCCCGGAGGAAGGGCTTGGCAGAGCGATTTGACAGGATTAGGGTCTTGACACCTTGCTTGAGGGATTATGGAGGGCAGGGGAGGTGTCATGGAGTCCTAGAGAAATTGAGCAAATTGGCAAGTTGATTTTCTATGAATTTTATAGATTTTAGTCCCTTTTGACATTGGCAATTGGAAATAAATGGATATATTGTAGCGAAGAAGGTGAAGAAGAAGACATGCCCCCCCCCTTCCGTATCAAGGGAGATCAGCTTCATTTTGTAGTTCGGTTAGCAACAAATACAAAGAGACTTCCTAACTACAATGACAGTGGTGGGTAAGAGAGTGAAAATTCATGTCGAAAAACTCACCATGCCGATAACTCTGGACTCATGCTGTCCAGGGTGGAAGGTGGGGAGAGACATCTTTTAAAACATCTCCTCCACCACCACTTCTGACTGTCTTTCAAAATTTTCGCTTCCTTTGTTCCTTGCTTTTGACAACACAGAGGCTGACTGTAACACAGTTCTGTCTCATGACTTACATGTACTTGGTTAGGTAGAGCAAAAAAACAGAAAGCAGGACCTGAGCGCAAGAGCACCCCCTCCGTGGCTTCCAGGAACTGGGATCCAGTTATGCCTGGGAAATAACCCTCTCTGAAACCCCGGGAGATCTGCTGCCAGTCAGTGCTGGAAGGACCAATGGTCTGACCTTCTTTAAAACAGCTTCCTTTGTTCATCTGCAGCTCTCAAAATGCAAAGCCTATCTTCAGGTGGTTCGTTTGCTGTTTACTATTATAGTTTACTGCCTGTTACAGTCATTTAGCTGCCGCATCCTGCTTCAGAAACTATAGGGCACTCTGTTTCAGGGCCATTAGCAAATGTAGCATGTGGAAGGTGTCAAATGATCCATTTGCAGTCTGTACATGGTGGAGGGCTGTGCTGTTAGGCAGGGATGCTGGAACTGTGAAACTGTTCTTCTTAGGGAATGAGAAGTACCCAAGTACAGCGGTACCTCAGTTTACGAACTTAATCCATTCCGGAAGTTGGTTCTTTAACTGAAACCGTCCTTAAACAGAGGCGCACTTTCCCTAATGAGGCCTCCTGCCGCCAGTGCCCTTCCACCGTTCGGATTCCGTTCTTAGACCGAGGTAAAGTTCGCAAACCGGGACACTACTTCCGGTTTTGCGGAGTTTGTAAACCAAATTGTCCGTAAACAGGACTGTTTTTAAACTGAGGTACCACTGTATGTCCCTGATTTAACTGTAAAATATTAGAGATGCTGAACTAGTTACACGGTTCATTGGATTCAACCCCATGTTGTCTGAAAACAAATTGCTGTGAATGCATGTATTTATTTCTTTATTTTAACTGCTAGTGCTGGGCCATAATTATTAACAAAGCCCAGCGGTTTCTTATCTATGAGCAAGAAGCCTGCCCTGTTTGCTAGCTGGAAGGTCTCTGCTTTTCTGCAGCCACATCAAAGTGGAAAGTGGCCTTTTTCCCTGCTAGTGCTCCCCAGGAAACCGTTTTAAACAACATCAGCAAGTCGACTTCTGCTGGAGGCTCTATCCTGTTGTCTTCCCAAATCCCTCGCTGCAAAGCTTGCTGAGAGTCAAGTGAGCCTTTAGGTCCCCAATGCACACAAACTCTAAAGCTTTGAAGAAACAAAGAGAGACTCTAAAAAGGCAAATAGAACTGCACACAACTTCTGCAAGCACAGCTGAATCTTGGTTGCAGACCTTTCGGGACCAGAGATGGTTCATAACTGTGTAAAGTTCATAACTTTCATGAATTCCCTCGCCACACACCAGCCCTTTCCATCTCCCCTCTTTAGATCCAGCGTAGCCTCTCTGACTCAAGAAATGATTCCTGATACCAGTCACACCATTGGCTAGCAGGACAGGGATTAGATATTTTTATGGGTTTAGTTGGGACATAGAAAAATCACAAGTCTTTCACTGCCTAAGTAGGTGGTTTTTTTAAAAAAAATCTACTCTCCAGGAACTCTGTCCACATTGACTTTTCTACTGAGGGCCACCTGCTTGCTCAGGGATGGGTGAAGAATCCTGAGGCCCTCGTGATGTTGATGGACTTCAGGTCCCATCATCCTTGACAATGGGCTGTGTTATCTGGGGCCACTGGTATGCCTACCCTTATTGTAGAAGATATTGGGTTATGTTCCAGGAACATAAACAAAACATGACAAGGCAAACTAGATCCTCCAAGCCTGAAGTCTGCCCACAACTGGTATAAACATTACTCAGCTAAATGGTCAATGTTCTGACTTGGCAAAACACAGCTTCCAATGTTCCAAAGTCCGAGTATCAAGAATTTTCAAGTTCCAGTTCAATGAGTTGCATCCAGGGCTAGTCCAACTCGAAGTAGACCCATAGAAATCAAGAGGCGTGATTGGGTTAGGACCATAATTTCAGTGGGCCTGCCCTGAGTAAAACTTAGTTGGATATAGCCCAATATGTTTTTGTACAGGTTTCAGCATAACAGTGTGTTGTTTTACCCCAACTGGTATGCAAATGAAATGCAAATTAGCAGTGGCCTTTGGCTTGTTTCTGGCATACCCCTCAGCACTGATTCCTCTCCCGCTCTTCCTTTCCCACACATCCTGCTGGCTATGGAGCTACATCACATATCAGCAAGGGATTTTAGTGTGTCTCTCACCCTTAGTTCCTTCTTCACAGCTTGATATATTTACCCCCAGGACACGGTACTTCGGCCCTGGAAGCCCAAACAAATGCTCATTTACAGAGTTTTAATTGCCTTGCAGCTGCTGAAACTGGTTAGGTATTTTTATCTGTAGCTCTTTGGTGTCTAATCTCTTGTTTTATACATAAATATAATGATAGTTAACTGGGTACTTATAGGGGAAATTTGCCCATTGAGATTTACGATTGAATGAGTAACCAGTTCCCTTCATTTACTTGTGATCCTCTTTTCCTCTTCCCCTCTTTTTTACCAGTTCTGAGAAGTGGTGGAGGGTGTTCCATTTGGGTGAACAAGGCAGTGTCCCACCAACCTCACTGGCCTCACCAGGCCTCATCTACCTGCCTGCAGCCACCTTCTCCTTAGTCTCAGTGCTGGCCTTGTACAACTCAGCAGGAGTTACAGTGGTACCTCGGGTTACATACGCTTCAGGTTACATACGCTTCAGGTTACAGACTCTGCTAACCCAGAAATAGTGCTTCAGGTTAAGAACTTTGCTTCAGGATGAGAACAGAAATTGTGCTCCAGTGGCAGCGGGAGACCCCATTAGCCAAAGTGGTGCTTCGGGTTAAGAACAGTTTCAGGTTAAGAACGGACCTCCGGAAGGAATTAAGTACTTAACCCGAGGTACCACTGTATATACAGTGGTGCCCCGCAAGACGAATGCCTCGCAAGACGGAAAACCCGCTAGACGAAAGGGTTTTCCGTTTTGGAGGTGCTTCGCAAAACGAATTTCCTATGTGCTTGCTTCGCAAGACGAAAATGTCTTGCGAGTTCCTGCGGGGTTTTTTCCTTTCCCCCCTTTTCCCCAAGCCGCTAAACCGCTTATAAGCTGATGGCTAAGCCCCGTATCAGCTGGTCTTTAGGCCGCGTAACAGCTGGTGCGAAGCCGCTTATCAGCTGAGAGTTAAGCCGCGTAACAGCTGATGCTAGGCCGCTATCAGCTGATCGTTAGCCGCTTATCAGCTGATCTTAAAGCCGCTTATCAGCTGATCTTTAAGCCGGCTAAGCCGCTAATACTGTAGCGCTAAGCCGCTAAACCTCTAATGGGCTTGCTTCGCAAGACGAAAAAACCCGCAAGACGAAGATACTCGCGGAACGGATTCTTTTCGTCTTGCGAGGCACCACTGTATAAAGTTATACATAAAGTCTGCAGAACAAGCTCCACAGTATGCCACATTGACTGCAGAATTTAGCTTTTGCACAGTGCTGTGAGGACCTTTCTAGTCCTCTTGAAGCACAAGTATTTTCCTCCTCCTCCGTTTCCATGCTTGGTCTATTAAAATAGTTAACAGAGACTTCAATTGCCCTCATTCAGTATCTTAGCAATACTTCCCAAAGATGAAAGCTGTTCATGCATACTTAAAAACAGTTGCTTGGGGCATTTGGAAGTCTTTCTGAACCCCAGTGCATCAATAATGCTTTCCCTGCATTTCTGAAATGAATTTTTGCACCGCTGAGAAAAGCTGCCAACAATTTTTTAAACAAAAATATATATGAAAACACAGCATGGTGCAAGAGATGGTACCAGCTAATAAAAACCCACGATTTCTGACCCTGCTCTTTGGAAATGCTAAAATACTTTCCAGTGTTCAGCAGTATATGTGCATTCAGAATATTTAGTTCTCATTGGCCTCTCTGGGGAAAGAGAGGGGCAGATTGCCCTCTTAATTTACTTTTCCAGAATATTTTTTCTCCATCTGTAAAACTCAACAGTTTCCCCAGATAGGCTGATACTTCCTGCTTTCTAAATAACCATTTTACATAGGAAGCTGCGTTATATGAGTCAGACAATCTGGCTCAATATTGTGTGCACTGACTGACTGTCTCTCTCCAGGTTTTTAGACAGAGGACTTTTCTTGCTATACCTGGAAATTGAACCTGGAACTTTCTGCATACAAAGGGTATGCTCTGTTTCTGAGCTGTGGCTCCTTTAGCCATCACAGCTTAGCACCTGAGTTCAAGTATTGGTATATTTGAGAAAGATAATAAATTCCTTGATCCTTCAACCTCACTTTGTCAAAAAGCATTACTTTTCTCTCTGCACCTGGATTATATATGCAAAACCCACACAGGGGTTTCCACAAATGCTTATGCCCCAGTAAATTCTTCATTTGCTACTAGCCATCCCTCCAGAAATTGCATTTTGGAGATATTTCATGTATCAAACAATCGGCACTCTCTGCCCATGGAGGAGACTTTTTTTTAATGCGTCTTGTCTTTCAGTTCATGCAAAGGGGCTTGGATTCAGAAACCAAAAAGCAGCTTGAAGAGGAGGAAAAGAAAATAATCAGCAAAGAACATTGGTTCCTGGATCTGCCCGAGCTAAAGGAAAAGGAGTAAGTTTGTCCCCCCACACCTTCCATGAATGAGGAGCAAAACCAGAAATGCTTTCTAAAACATTATAGCATCTTGGGACATAGGAAGCTGCAGTATATTGAGTCAGACTGTTGGTCCCTCTAGCTCAGTATCATCTACACAGACTGTCTGCTGCTGCCCAGGGTTTCAGATGTGAGTCTTCCCCATCTCGAATCCTAACATCGGCAGGTGAGGCCTTGGTGGTGCCACTGCTGGAGGATGCCAAGTTGGCATTAACCCACGAGCTTCCTTTTCAGTAGCAGTGCCCCATTTGTGTCTCTCTCGCTCATTATTGATGTTTGAGAGGCATTTAAAAACATTCCTGTTTACCCAGGCATTTGATGGCTGAAAGGCACAGTTCCTTGAAACCCTGGAATCTGGCTGAGAGAATGTTTTTAATTGCTTTTAGAATGTTTTGTAGCTGTTTTTAGAATGCCTTAAAAACATACCATTATTTATGTGTTTGCCACCCAGGGGTTCTTATGTTGACAAGGCAGTGTATAAACCAAATGAGTGAGTGCCTGGAAATTCCAGAGATTGAACTCAAGACCTTCTGGATGCAAAGCAAAGGCTCTGCCACTGAGCTATGGCTTTTCCTTTGTCAGTCTTTATCTCCTGGCAGTCCTCCTACGACAATGCTAAGGTAACCTTGCTTGTTTGACGCTCTCTAAGACTTCTACTGTATTATTATTTATTTACAGGAGCTTTATTATAGAAGAAAGAAGCTTTGTGCCGTGTGAAGACCTCCTGTATGGCAGAATGTCATTTAAAGGTTTCAACCCTGAAGTGGAGGTATTGTCAAGGGCACTCCTTTATCCTTTCCACGTCTGCTGTAACATGGTTGAAAGAGTGAGCCAGGAAGCATTAATGTTTCTTTTTTTCCAAAGCACAGAAAGTTTAACTTGCAGATTCCACCTCTGCCACGATTAGCTACAGGTCCTCTCATCCATAACCCCATCCCCTACCATAAATACGGGGGGTGATTATACTTACAGGGCTTGTTTATTTAGTTATTTAAAGGACTGGGATTTTTGCTTTGCTCTTCGGCCAGAAAAGCTATTAGAGTGGTTTACAGTTAAATAGATAGAAAGGAAAGAAGGAGAAGAAAACTGTCCCCAGGCTTACAAAGACAGAAAAGGAAAAAGGCATGGGGCGGGAAGAGGAAAAGAAAGCAAGGAAGCTCAGGCACATTTCTTAAAGTTGCTGAATTCTCTCATCAACATAATGGGATGAAAACTGCTTAAAGTGAGGTGGGGCCAAAGGAAGCAGATCTCTTGGTAGAGTCAATGAAGTGGATCGTTCTTCCTATCTCTCCCTTGGCTGCAGCCTGATGGATTGGCTGCTGCTAAGTGGTAACTGAGGATGAGCCAAAGGTAACTAGTCCATACCATTCACCAATACAAATATATATAACGCTTTGTATACTCTGAAGCACTGCAAAGGTACCTGTCATTCTGGATCAGATGTGATAACAAATTGTAGCAGAAGAGACCACCACTACAGCCCTCTCTCCCCAGCTGCCTCTCATCTCTGAAGGTGGGATTACCTGGAGAAAGACTTATGATCAGAGGACGCTACTGCTCAGGCAGTCTCTCTACTACACTAAGATGCATTCCAAAGAGATAGCCATTTTAGTCTGCTTCGTCAAACACACACGAGAAATAGTTTTGTGGCACCTAGAAGGATCTAGCAGATTTATTGTGGCATAGACTTTCATGGACTGGAGTCTACTAGTTGGTTCTGGTCCATGAAATTGCATGTTAAAATAAATCTGTCTAGGGTGCTGCAAGACTCTCTTGTTTGGTTGACATTGTATTAACTCAGGTCCGCATTATACAGCTGGATAGAAGGTAGGCCACTTTGCTGGATCTAAGCCGGGCTGAGTGTGCTCAGTGTCGTCTGGTTGGAAGACTTCCTAGAAAACCCTGGGAATTATCCAATGAAGCAGTTCCACAATGCAGTGCCCTCTCCACCCACCATGTGCCCCCTAAATCTGTTCTGGGGGCTCTTTTCAAGCTCCAGAGCATTTCAGTGAGAGGAGGTGTATAGGGAGATGAGAGCAAGGGCAAGTTCTGTTGCTGAAGCAGAGATCCTTGCCCCAGCAGAACTACTTCGTTGGAGACCACCCACCATGGCTCTGTGATGGAAGGAAGGTGGGCTATAGTTGTAATAAAATAAAGGCAAAGGAAGGGTTACAATCTTACATGCACAAATCTACATCCTGCCTGTGCCCATCTTTTTTAAAAAAGAAAAAGGAGGGGGAATGGTCATTGCTCGTATTGCCAAATCTGTCCCCTTGACATTCTTCAAGGAGTGCAATGCTTGAAACTGATAACCCAGTTTTTCGTTTTCAGAAGTTAATGATCCAGATGAACTCAAAGTACAAGACAGAAGAAATCGAAGAGGAAGATAATGCAATGGAGGCTGATGTATCGGATGAAGAAATGGCCAGAAGGTAACCATTACCATTTATGACACAGATGACATTACCAAGAAGATGTGTTGCTGCCTTTTCTCCTTACAAAGTGGAAACCTCCCAAACAACCACATGCTTGACATACAAAGCACTTCTTCTTGTTTGTGGTGCTGTTGTTTCTTAAACAGAGTATTTTATAGTGGAAGTGAGATGATTTGATGAGTTGTTGGTTTTGGTTTGCTTGTTTTAAAAATAACCTGCTTTCTCCAGGCACTCTAGCTGGAAGTCAGCTACATCAATAGTAACTTATTGCAAGTTATAGCAATCCATTTCGGGGGGCGGGGGCTTGGCTCCAAGGGAATAATATATAACCATTCATAGAAAAATGTTTGTTGAAATCCATTTGTATGTTCGCTTTTAAAACTTGCAGAGGAATACCAATAAATCAACACCCCAGCTTCTATAGTAAACACCAATTTATTTATTTTTTAAAGTGGTACACCTGCAGTAGAAGATGCTTCAGGTGAGGGTTGGTTGGAAGCTCATTCCATTCCGGCTGTGCAGTGAGTTGGCTAACATTGATTGAAGGCTTTGTTACACCCAAATCAAACTACTGGGCCGTCTGACTCACTGCTGCCTTTTATTATTATGTATTAAATTTATTAGTCACTCTTTTTTCTTTGGCAGATCAAAGTGACTTACAATATTTTATGCAAAAAAAGGGAATACATACATTAAAACCACCAAAAAAAACCACCCCAAAGCCTACATTAAAATAGCCCACCCATGCAATAATTGGGCCATCAGTAGTTAAAAGTCAAAGGCTATATAAATGAATGGTTTTTGCCTGGTGCCTAAAGATAGGTAATGATGGTGCCGGACAAGCCTTTTCATGGAGAGCATTCCATAAGTGGGGAGCCACCACTGATATGGCCTGTTCTCATGTTGCCACCCTCCAGACCTCCTGTGGAGGACCTCAGATGGCGATCGTCATCTACAATATCCTGTCCCAACCGGGTACTTTGGACTCCAGCTTTCATCCCCTTGACCATTGGCTGTACTGGCTGATGGGAGTTGGAGCCTAACAACATCCGCAAGGTGCCACTTTTGCTGCTACTGCTTTCAAAGACCTTAAGGCAAGGAGAGGGGACTGGTGGCCCTGCAGGTTTTGTTGAACTCCAGCTCCCATCAGCCCCCCAGCGAAGCATGGACAATGAGGAGGGATGAGAGGAGATGGAAGAGCCACAGTCTTGTTCTCAAATGGTAAAGTAATTTCCTTAACTTATTGTGTGTTTTTTCTAGGTACGAAACTTTAGTGGGAACTATTGGGAAGAAATTCTTAAAGAAGAGGAACCGGCACATGGTGGAAGACATAGAAGAGGATGAAAACAGCAACACAAGGCCTACCAAAGCAAAGAAAATGTTTTTGAAACCTCAAGATTAAATCACTTGGATGCTTTCTGTGCCCTTTAGACTGGGGAAATCTTATTTTGGACCATGGTAATACGAGTTATTTTTATAAATCCCTGGATCTCTTTGTGTCTCTGGGACTGATGCATTATTTTATTTTTATTTTTTGGAGCTGGCAGCTACATAAATGAACATTTTACATGCTCTTGATCTCTGTACAGTTTTTAGCATAGGCATTTAAGAGCACAAGCACTGACTGAGCACTGCATGAAGAGACAGGTTGTCACACGTGGCTGAGGACAGCTTTAGATTATGAATCTTAACTGCATGCAGTGTGTGTCAAAGCCAGGTGAGTTGCAACCCTGTTATAAGACACTGATTATATATATATATATATATATATATATTTATATATATACATATATTCTTTATACATATTGCTAGGGTAACAGAGAGTTGTTGAGAAAGTATATTTCTTTTTTAAAAAAATTAATTTATGTAATTGATTTATGTCCTTGAAAAATATTTTTATTGGTGTATTTTTAATTTTCTAGGGCAGTTTTAAGGTGCTCGCCCCAATACTTTTGCCTGTTTAAAACTGTGACCCGTAAAAGAGAGAAGGGAGGGAAGGCAGAGTCACCTGTTCTTGTAGCTTCACATCTCAATAAATTTATTTGGGCTAATGTTTGATTTTGTTTAATTACATTTATCAACATTTTCACCAGAAAAAATAATAGCAAAAAACAAATAGAAGTATGTCTTCTATTGACTGTTAAGGAGTTTGGGGCAATTACTAAATTTAATTTGTACATGAAGACTATGGATTGAATTCCTTCCAGTGGCCTTGTGCTCATGGAAAAGGGTTGGATCCAACGCAGGATGTAATTGGACAGTTAATTGAAACAAGGCCCCAGACTCAATTATACAAAAAGTAAGTAGCTCAATGCCTGGAGTATTTTGTGCTTATGATACACTGATGAAAACCTTGGTCTCAAAAATACCTTATTAGCTATTCAAGGCGGATCACATGTGTAAAGATAAAGGCTTTTTTCTAACTTGAGAAGGGGGTCTTATTACTGTCAGAAAAATCTGATGTGTTAGCTTCTTTAACTTTCCAGAGCTAATTAAATGCTGCTGGGTCAATTACTCAAAATCTGGCCACAAAGCATCACCGATCAGGAGTAAAAGTTAATGATTGTACAGCGTTTCCCTTCCCTTTCCCAATTTTTGAAAAAAATGTGTTTTCAGCTAGGAAATGATTTATTGACTATCATTTGAGGAGAACAACTCTGAACATGCCCCACTTTGCCGTTCTTACTCATTAATGAATAAATTTGCTCTGTAAAACGCACCAGACCACAAGAGTTTTTGGAGGAGGAAAACAAGAAAAAAAATATTCTCAATCTCAGAAGCCAGAACAACAAGAGGGATCGCTGTGCAGTGTTCTGGCTTCTGGGATACCTGTGCAGCCTGCATTCACTCCATAAGACACACACACATTTCCCCTTACTTTTTAGGAGGGAAAAAGTGAGTCTTATAGAGCAAAAAATACGGTATTTCCCTTATGACTCAAGTCCTGTTTAGGGGGGAAAGTAGAGAGGGTTTTTGTTTCCCTGTTAGTCACCAACGATCCAAGCTACAACTGTGTCCAAGTAGCCTCTTAAAACCCTCCACCCTCTTTGTGAGCATAAACTGAGGGGACAATTTCACTGATTTTTTTCCCAGGGGGATGATAAAAGTGTGTGTGTGTGTGTGTATCATGCATAGCAGTGGTGGAGTCACAACTTCTTCTTTTTCTTGCGTTTTTATTTTTGCTGACACTTCAAAGAACAGCAGCAGCAATTGCATTGACATCCTGGCTGCCAAAACTAACTAAGTGAAACCCATAGGGTGCCTTCTGAAATACATTAATTTTCCTGGCTATAATGCTAGTGATGTTGTGCTATGAAACTGTGGCTTTTTGACGGATATACCAGCATGTTGCCCTAAATTTCATTCACATCAGTCTGTATGGTGTGACACAACAATGAGCGTCATGGGACGACATCACTACTCCCCCACACTTTCCGCACATGCTTCTGTTCCCCATGATCCTGCCCCCTACCCGTAAAAAAAATAAAATAGGAAAGTGCCACATTCTGGAATACTACCCCCAAATTGTGTCACGTTACTCCTGTAATATTCCGGGTTAAGGGGGCTGCAAACAGATGTTTTTCTGGAATTGAATCACAGGGAAATGAGACCTAAACTTGAACTATATTCAGTGCTTTTTTTCAAAAAAAAATATGTTTAGGGGAACTCATTTTCCTACTCATACTGAAATAATGCCCCTCAATGAGGCCAAACTTAGATTCACAAAATATTTAGGGGTATGCATACCCCTACAGTCCCCCAGGGAAAAAAAGCACTGACTGTATTCCATTAGTTTTCTGGAATCGTTTCTGCCAGCTCAAATATAATGCGAAAACGGGGAAATGGAAGAAACTGCTGCGTGAATGCAGCCCAGGAGGCATAATGCAGTGTCTCAGCAAGATGCATTTTTGAAGGACTTTGTTATGTGTTATGGTCTGAATTTGGCGATAAAGTTCATCATGGTTTTGTACCCATTCAGTCGAACCTTTCACCATTCCTTTGGCTGATGTTTCGAGAGCCCTTCTTCTACAGAGCTTCCCTGCCACCTCCCCCCCCCCTCCATTTTGTACTGAAGCTTTTCAAATTGTAGAAATGCCCGATTCTGGTGATCCAATATAAAGCCAAAACAAAAGCTGAAAATATTGATATGCTTAAAAGGGCAGTCTAACACATCCCATCTCCTAAAATAGGCCCAGAGTATCTAAAACAGATCCAGTATGGTGTAATGGTTAGTGTATTGAACTAGAGAGCAGGGTTTGAATCCCCGCTCAGCCATGAAGCTCACTGGGTGACCTTGGGCCAGTCACCATGTCTCAGCCTAACCTACCTCATAGGGTTGTTGTAAGGATCAAATGGGGAGGAGGAGAACCTTGTGTACCACCTTGAACTCCTTTGAAGATAAAGGTGGTATATAAATGTAAGAAATAAATAAATCAAACAAACAGAAAAGAAATGTGTTTGCCTGGTGCCTAAAAGTTGCCCGTGATGGTACCAGGCGTGCCTCCTTGGGGAGAGCATTTCATGAGTGAGGAGCCACCACTGAAAAGGTCTGTTCTCATGTTTCCACCTTCAAAGAGGACACAGGAAGAATGACCTCATGATGATAAATGCAAAATCCGGGGTGGGTCATGGTTAAACAGAAGGCAGAAATCTTTGATGATCTGATACAAATCACCTAGAAACACAGTCTTAGATCCCAATCAGCCTTCTGCCCATCACTAGCTTATAATAATCTCTAGACTGGCTTTCTCCCTACCTCACCTCTCTCTATCCCCTTTCCTTTTAAGAGGCATAACCATATTGTCCCACTGCAGCATAGTACACATGGGTCATGAATCCATCTGTTTAAATGAACATAATCCTAGAATGGGGCTGAGGTGCAGGACCAGCCATTTCATCTTTCTATCGCACCGATGAAAAACCTGCCTACTGCCCTCTAACTCTTCTACAGTTCAGATTGAAGAAAGCCTGTATTTTCTCAGCGAAAGGCTATGGCTTAGTGGCAAAGCATATTTGTATGCAGAAGGTCTCAGGTGCAGTCCCTGGCATCTCCAGCCCGGGCTGAGACTAGGAGAGAGCCACTCCGAAGCCCTAGGGAGCCACATCTCGTCTGTGTAGACAGTGCACAGCTACATGGACCAACACTCTGTCTGATGAGGCAGCTTCCAACTTTTCTATGTTTCCTCCCAAGGTACCCACAGAACAAATGACTCCAGGGGATTTGAGCAAATGGCCAAATTAAGCTATAGGAGCACAAGGCTGGAATCATACATGATTGCTAGCTATTTAAGGGCTGTGTCGACGCTAATTATTGTTACTGATTATCCCTTTCCAAATTCTGTTACTGTCCTCCTCGTCTTGCTAAGCAAAATTTTACTGGGACTTTCACCCACTTGTATTTAGTTAAATAGTGGAAATGAATAAACAGTGGAAGCAGGCCTGATCCTCCAGGCATTTCGCCGTTCTCCTCAACCCCGTGGAGTTGTAAAATCAGAATTAAACATTTGAAGCACATTTCTCTCTTTGTCTTCTATGGAATTTTATTTTTGTTGCAGAAGCTGGTTTGTTTTTTTAAGTCCAACATTCCAAATGGGTGGGTGGATTCCCCCAAAACATGGACAGCTTCATAAGGATCAGAAAGCCATTTCTCCAATAAGAACTTGCTGTGCAGTAAGCCACATACAAAATAGTCTACAGAGATATGAAGCTGAAGGATTTTTTGATTGGCTTGGAGGAATTTTAAGCAATGTGCTGTAATAGCAGATCCGTAAAGCGGGTGGGGGAACTACACAGACCAAGACTTCATTAGCGCTGGTGACTTAAGTATAACTCTCACAAGTGTTACCAATGTATATATGAACAGAAATAAATGGAGACTGGAGCAAAAGCCTCTGTCAATATTAGTTCGTGTAATTAAAATTATATCAATATCCATATTTTTCAGATTAAGGCTTCACATAGGATTTTCACCGCCTGCTCACTATATTAAACATTGTGTTCGTCAAAAGTATGTGCCCTCACAAATCTGAGATGAGTATATGAAGTATTTTAATTAAAGCTTCCCTTTCACAATACCTGTGCAGAGCTCCGTAAAAGATGATCAGCATTAGACTCTAGGGGTAAGAAGAGAGGGTGAGTTCAGTCTGTTGCTAACATTTTAGGTCATGTAGCTTTTAATGTGAACTAGCTTGTTGGCAGCTAAGATATTTGAATTCTAAAATTCCCATTTCCTTAGAGTTAATAAGCCCAAATGAGCCATTTTTTCATGGATGCAGTGTATCCTTTGTAGGGCTGCCCCATTTTATGTTAATAAAGGATGGCAGTTTGCTTAAAAATATTCCTTTAGACGAGCTTCCTGTATTGAAATGACTGGAGTATCCCTCGTTCACACATTAGTTCTGGGTACATATCGGAGCAAGTCCTGCTTTGAATTCAGATCCATGTAACTTAATAAAACGTGAAATGCAGATTCCTCCATTTTGAAGTGCGTAAATCGTTTCAAAATTCATTATCCAAGACATGTTAAGTACTTTGCAGTCACTGGTTTGCATCTACAGGGTTGTCAGTGCTGGTGAAAAAAACCCCACAATATACAATTATCCTCTTCTGCCTAACATGGGGTGCTTACAGCTTATGGACAGGTTTTAATCATAACTGCAATTTACAGAATGATGGATTTAAGAAGATGGTAAAGCTTGTTGCAATTGCATAGCAGTGTGCCGTGTTTTGTTTTCTACACTAGATGGTATACGTCGCTTTGATGTTAATAGGAACAAGCTTGTTCTCCAGAGTTATACCAAATTTCTCTCTCAGTGTTTTCTCCACCTCGTCATCACTCAGCGTTGTGTGCTTCACCAGATCTGTGCCTTCCGTGTGGTTAAATTTTGTCTCCACAAGTGTCCATCCAATCAAAGCCCTAAACCCATCATTTGTCTGGAGGCTGCAGATAGATTTCTTGGTAAACACGGAATCTGGGGACGTTTGGAGATAGGAGCACTGGAACCGAAAGTCTTCTACTGTCCTTGGCTCAAGGCTGAACAGGTAGATACTCCTGCGCTCCCTTTTTTCCAAGAGATCTGAGTTGGCAAAGTTTTGACTGGGAATGTATTGCTTCCTTCTTATTTTCTCATAGTACCAAATACCGTTGTCTTCTGTGAAACGAAAGATCCCAGGCATTTGTGGCTGGTCTTTGCCGGACACCAGCTCCAACGGTTGCCACATTTGGTAGGAGACACCAAAGCCTGCATCAACGATGTAGGCCCTCTCGTCAATGACCACCTTGATGATGAGATGTGTCATCTGAGTGGCATAGGTGTTTTGCTGCGGGTTGTAAACATAAGCTCCCAGTATGGTGGTGTTATATCCCAGCTTTTTCAGAACCCAAGACAAAAGCTGGTTATTCTCCATGCACCAACCCCCTCGTTTTTCCTTCACAATCTTGTTGTAAACATGATCTAAGTCTAGAGTAATCGTCTCCCCGCAGTGGATGCTAAGGTTTTCAAAGGGCACAGCTCGTATGTGGTGCTGGAAGATCGCCGCTAAGGTTCCAAAATCCAGTTTTTCGAGAGAGCCTTTGTAGCTAATCCTTGTGAAATATTCTTCAATGTTCATGTTTCCTGGAAGGCAAATGTTAAAGCAGCTAATTAAAAATTATGACAGCCTGAAAGGCTTCTTTCCCTGTCCTGCCAGCTTGCACAGTGGTTTCTCTGAATATATTTAAGGAGAGTAGCATCAAAGAAATTGCATAGCTGAAGCAGAGAAGTGCAGGAACAAACACCTGTTTAGATCTACTAAGTGCCTAACAAAGACTCTCCTTTGATAGTGCTCTGTTCTTGCAACCTGGTATGCATGTGTTGAGTATGGTCAACTGGTTTGTTTGCGGAGGTTGTGTTTTCTGCATCAGTAACAAGGGCTGTAGCTCTCTAGCAGAGCAGGTGCTTTGCATACAGAAGGTTTCAGGTTTCTTAACATCTCCAGGTAGGGCCATGAAAGATTACTGCCAGTCAGTATAGGCAATATTATGTTATATGGACAAATGGTATAAAACTTCGTATAAAACTACTTCCTCTGCCTGAGCCCCCGTAGAGCCACCACCACCTAAAGTGGACAAATATATTAATGGTCTGACTCAGTCTAAGCAGTTTTACACATTCAGCAGAAATTTATATATGAGTTAAGATATTCATATACAGTCGTGCCTTGGAAGTTGAATGGAATCCATTCTGGAAGTCCCTATGACTTCCAAAATGTTCGAAAACCAGAGCACGACTTCTGATGGCTGCAAGAAGTTCCTGCAGCCAATTGGAAACTGCAGAAGCCCCGTTGGATGTTCGGCTTCTAAAAATAGTTCGCAAACAGTCACTTCTGGGTTTGTGACGTTTGGGAGCCAAAACGTTTGGGAACTAAGCTGTTCGACTTCCAAGGTACGACTGTACTGCTATTGGAACATTTCAAAATGGTGTACAGTTGCATAAAATGCAATTCAAAAATAAACAAATACAACACAAAAATATACAAACTGTTTTTAAATCAAGCTCAATCAGTGTACTTAGCATTGCTTAAAATTCTACAGCGACTAACATCAACAGCCAGTGAAGGCAAGTAAGTGTTCAGCATCCAATGAAATGATTTCAAAGTTGGTGCATTTCTTATTTCTGGAGGAGGCCATTCCAGCACCACGACAGAAAAGATCAGGTTCTTGGTTGTGGCCAGATGTAGATCTGCAGGCTATAGCAGAACCAGGAGGGCCTATCCAAAATCCAAGGGTCTACACCAGTTAAAGTTGCTCTTAAGAGTTTTTTTTAAAACAACAAAACAAAAAATATCTTACCTGTTAAGATATTTATCTGTTTTTGTTTTGTGATTTCCCTGTGCTTTTCGGACTGCAGTCTGCTGTACTGCGTGTATAAAGAGCTGAGCTGAATTTTTCAACTTCAGATCTGCAAAGATCTTAATTCTTCCCCTCTCTCTCTCGTCTTATTGGGGGTTGGTCATTAAAAAGCTTGGAGGGGAGAAAGTCCACCTGAAATGTCTGCACATATTCCAGTTCCACTGATCCATGAACTGATTGAACTTTGGTTCTTAACTTTTTTAAAGAGGTGTCCTAACCCGACAAAACAGCTTGCTTGATATGAGAAACATCTGGACACGTAATATGGGGCATTGCACCACTGAAATCAGTAGCTTGTATCTAGCATTGTGATATAGTGATGGTGAAAAACTTGGATGGCTCGAAAAAAGGATGAGACAAATTCATGGAGGATAAGGCTATCAATAGCTACTAGCCGGTATGGCTATGCTGTGACTCCATGCTCAGAGACAGTAACACTTCTGAATTAGTTACTGACGCTGCAGGAGGGTAGAGCTGCTATTGTGCCTTTGTTCTGCTTGTAGGCTTCTTATGGGCATCTGGTTGGCCACTGAGAACAATGATGTTAGATTAGATTTGGCCATGTACCACAGGGATCTTTATGCTTCTTAAGTTCTAGTGAGAGTATCCTTATTGAAATTAATGGACCTAAATTAGTCATGTCCATTAATTTCAATGGGTTGTTGCTGACTAAATCCTTCTCAGAGTAGACCTATTAAAATTAATGTCTCTAAGGCAGTCAGTGGGTCTACTCCAAGTAGAATTAACGTTGGTTGCAACCCATATAGCTGAGTGGTTCCAGTTGAACCATGGTAGGTCCCATCTCCCTTTTTGACTTTTTGACTTCTCTCAAAGCCCACCCACCAGAATAAAAAGTTTTAGAAATGTGGTATAAACAAGATGCCTTTGCCTATTTTTTCACCCTAAGATGAAGACTGCCCTGATTAACAGCTGGGTTTTATATTGTTAAATGTGGTGAATCAGTAATTGAATGTTCCTGCTTCCTAACATCTGTATTCCTAACATCAAATGTCTGCTATTTCTCCCCCCACCCGCATTTTAGGATTTAGGATTTTTTTCTCATGGGGCAACACAGCAACCTTTACATTTTGTTGATGTTATCTTCTTTACTTTCCACATGAGTTGGTAATAAAATTTACTGTAGATTTCACACTCCATCATAGCAATGAATGGCAAAATATTAATCAAGAGAAACTTTATTACATTCATCATCATCATCATCGTCATCGTCATGTCTAGTTGAGATTCCTGCATTGGAGGGGGTTGTACTAGAAGACCCTCAGGGTCCCTTCCAACTCTACAATTCTATGATTCTGTGATCCAAGTATCATCCTCCCAATTTGCTTTGAATGTTTGTAGCTCTGGTAGCTCTTCAAATCAAAACATGGATATCAAGCTGGTGTTAATGGGGACAAGCTTCTTATCTAATCTTATGTTGAATCGCTCCTGCAGAATTTTCTCCACTTCCTCGTCAGTAAGGGTGGTGCTTTTCACCAGATCCACGTGGCCCTTGTAATTATATGTGGTTTCCGTCAACGTCCACCCAATCAAAACCTGAAAGCCGCTGGTGGTCTGCAGGCTACAGATAGACTTCTTCACAAACAGGGAATCTGGAGCAGTTTGAAGATGCAGGTTCATAGGCCGAAACTCTTCTATCGTCCGTGGCTGAAGGGTAAATGAGAAAACTTTCTTGCAGGTTATGTTTTCTGGGGTAACAGAGGAGGGGAATATGTTGTCGGTACCTACTGTGCACTGCTTGCGCTTCATTTTGTCAAAATACCACACTCCATTGTCTTCAGTGAAGCGGAAGATGCCCGGTGTCTGAGGCTGATCTTTCCCAGACACCAGTTCCATTGGCTGCCACATTTGGTAGGCTATCCCAAAGCCGCCGTCCACAATGTAGGCCTTGCCGTCAATCACCACTTTCAGCAGGAGGTGATTCATGTCTTTCTCATAGGTGTCTTGAGGAGGGCTGTAAACGTAGGCTCCTAAAAGGCTGGTATCGTAGCCCATTGTCTGAAAGACCCAGAATAAGAGGTGGTTGTTCTCCATGCACCAGCCACCACGATTCCGCTTCACAATTTTGTCGTAGACTGATTCTAAGTCTATCTGAATGGTTTCGCCGCAGTGCATGCTGAGGTTTTCAAATGGCACCGATCGGATGTGATGTTGAAAGACTGCTGTTAACGTTTCTAAGTCCAGGCATTCCTGGGGGCCTTTGTAGGAAATTCTTGCAAAATACTCCTCGATATTCATGTTGATGAGTTTTTCCTCCTACTGTCCTGGAGATGGTGGGGAGAGACAGAGAGAGAGAGAGAGAGAGAGAGAGAGAGAGAGAGAGGTGAATAATTAGATTATTCTACCTCCTTGCATGATCTCTGTTCTATTTTACAGTTGTTGGGAATGATGATACTTTCAAGTGTACAAAGTGTCCGTATGTTTTATATAGCTGTACTTCTAACTCTATAAGGCAGGGTTGGGGAACCTGTGGCCCTCCAGATATTGTTGGACTGCAGATCCCATCCCCTCTGGTCATTGGCCATGCTGGCTGGCACAGGTGGGAGTGGAGTCCCAACAACATATAAAGTGTGTTCAAGTGTTTGCCCAAACACATGAAAGCTGCATCAGGCACAGAATGACACACACAAGTCCTGTTCCCAACATCCCCATGCACATCACCCCACATACTGAGTCTCTGGTAGCTGCCATATATTGCCATATACCATTGGTCCATCTAGCTCCATATATTGTCCACGCTGACTGGCAGTGTCTCTCCAGTCTTATACATTTCATCTCTACCTGGCACCTTTTGTGTGCAAAACAGATGCTCTGCCACTGAGCTATGGCCTTTCCACATTCCACTTGAACACAAGCAGAACTCTCTGCAATTGAGGACTCTGATAAAGCAAGAACTTTAATTGCATGGAGGGGTTTGCATAATCGTGTTCAAGCAAATGTGAGTGGAAGTCCCCTTCAGATCTTCCTCAGTGAACACAGGGATGTTTGTGGGTTGGAGGGGAGGTACAATGTGAACCGCCATTCACACTTTGAGTTTTTTCCTTTAGACTGGTAGTGGGAAACAGGATTCAGCCAGTGGGCTAGATCCTTAACCTCCTCCACGTCCTGTGGACCAGCTTTGAAAGATAGGACCTCCCACCTGTTAACCACATGAAGACACAATGACTTCAGGGGACCCATTTTCCTTTGTTGCCCATGGTTTGAAATCCGTAGTGCCTGTGGATCCTGCTTTAAGCCCAGTCGTGTGCCTATCTGCACCTCATCTCATGTCGTATGATGTCCAGTGCATGACAGGCAGGTCTAAGTTGACCCTTGGGCTCAGCTCAAGGTCTCCCACCATTCCTCTAGAGGACCACAGATTCCTCATCCCTCTGGTAAGGTCAGTATTATTATACCCCATATTATGGAAGGGAGGACTAAAGGGGGGCTTGCCTTCATATTGCCAAATGGGAGAGATAATGTTTAAAGCAGGGACTCCTTGAGTCATATGCAGCTCAGTCTCCTAACCACTTTGCTAAACCCGTTATTAAGAGAACAAGGGTTGATTCACAAAGCAATTGTGGTCCCCAGCTACCTGTAATCAGGTGAACACGACTGTTCAGGCTTATTTACGAACAGCCCCCTGCCAATTGTCAAGCTGTAGTGTTAAATATCAGAAAGCTTTAAGGGCAACTTTCCCCGTTCCTTTGAGTCTACTTCCGGAATGCAGACATAAATAAAAAGCACTGGTTCATAACTAATTTAACTTGCGTAGAACTTTGGCACAACAGTATTGTTGTTTCTTTTCTCCATCCACTGCAAGGTTCTTGGGTCACACACACCCACTCTCTGCCAATCGACACCCCCCTCCCCTGAAAGAAGCATATTGAGCTGTGATTACGTGTATGGAAAGAGTAGTGTTGAAATGTCAATCTGTTTTGCTTTCTGTTATTTAAGCTTAGGAATTTTAAATTTTTTAAAAATCCAAGGTTATTTTCAAACTGAAAGCAGCCTATTCCTTGGTAATCATCACCAGGAAAGAGTGAATCTCTCGATTTCCAGTTTCTCATTGTCCCAATCTTAAATTCAGCTCCATATTCCTGCATGTCTCTGGGTTGTTCTTGTTTTAAAGTGCCCATGAAAATTTGTCAGCATTTCAGTGGGTACCTTTCCCAATATACACTTTTCTGTATGCCATTTTCCTAACAGACATATTTTTACAAACCAACCCTCCTAATTTAATTCATTTTTATCAGTCATTGCTGATCTAGTATATGTGTATTTGAACACATTAACGGTAAAGGTAAAGGTAAAGGGACCCCTGATCATTAGGTCCAGTCGTGACCGACTCTGGGGTTGTGGCGCTCATCTCGCTTTATTGGCCGAGGGAGCCGGCGTTTGTCCACAGACAGCTTCCGGGTCATGCGGCCAGCATGACTAAGCTGCTTCTGGTGAACCAGAGCAGCGCATGGAAACGCCGTTTACCTTCCCGCTGGAGCGGTACCTATTTCTTTACTTGCACTTTGTGCTTTCGAACTGCTAGGTTGGCAAGAACTGGGACTGAACAACGGGAGCTCACCCCATCACGGGGATTCGAAGTGCCAACCTTCTGACCAGCAAGTCCTAGGCTCTGTGGTTTAACCCACAGCGCCACCCGTGTCCCATTGTGTCCAAAGAAAGCAGCAGATGGAGGGGTCAGTCCTCAGTTTTCTCCCAGCTCGTTCTGATTTTGTAGATTGTTCCTGTTATTATCATGTGTGTTTTTGTACTGATTGATTATTATCATAGTTTTCTTCATTTTAAGTGCTTTGAGCATGAAAATGGAAAGGCAGGATATGAAATAAAGAAGAAAGTATTTGGTTAGCGAACTGCATTGCAAAATTCAGAGCGCGTTTTGGGTTGTGTATTGTTTCGGAGAGGGTGAATTAGGTAGGTTTGCTTTCAGCTGAGAACTCAGTCAAATTTCTTACCACTGTGACACTCCCTTTCCTGCAATCCCATTGAGGTTTCTGATCTTCTGCCTTAGTAATTCTTGAGTCTGTAGAGCTGCCATTACTAATAAGTCATGGAAAACAGCTTGGTCCCTGTCTGTGGTGCCATCGGGGCAGGACTTGGAAAAGAAGTCCAGGGTTCAGCAGAATGAGCAGGAGGAGCTCACCCCTCAATCCCCACATTGCTAAGGTTGCATTCAGACGTGGGTATTATTGTGTTAGTTTTCCTGATTATAATACTAGTTAAACTCTGAGATCATTTTGTTAAACTGTGGAACTCACTCTCACAGGAAGCAGAGATGGCCAACAAACCTGATGGCTTTAAAAGATGATTAGACAAATTCATGGAGGGAAACGCCGTCAATGGCTAGTAGCCATGATGGGTATGCTCTGCCTTCACAGTTGGAGGCAGAAATCCTTCTGAATGTCAGTTGCTGGAAACCACAGGAGAGGAGGGTGCTCTTGTGCTTGGATCCTGCTTGCGAGCTTCCTGGCCACTGGGAGAACAGGATGGTGGACTAGATGGGCCAATGGCCTGATCCAGGAGGCTCGTCTTGCGTACTTAAACTAGCAATTCTATCCTATATACTAAGGTTCCCTTTGATAGCTGTTGTGTTATGGAACTTTAGCTTTCTGATTGATCTGTTGCGCTAGCATTTTAAATAACAGGAATGACTGTATCCTGGGATACTAGGCCAGATTTCATCATGTGAAATTACAGCACAAAACTCCTGCAATTTTCCAGCTCTTGCAAGTAGCCCCCCCCCCCGAAATGAATAACATGGAAATGAGCACTCAACTTGCACTAGATTCCAGTACTTTTCCAGAAGTGGCTTTTATGTCATGTGGAGTATCACATAAAACGTGGAAATTATCCAATAAGGGAATGTCAGGAAAAAATTGAATAATTTGCCTGAACCCATTTTGAAGTAAGTGATGGAATACACATTGCCATCTAAAAGGCCCCCGAAACCAGGAAAGCTTCTCTAAAAGGACTATACTGAGCAGATGTTTGGAAGCTGTGGCTGGATGGTTACGTGGGATTCGGTTGAAGTTAAATCCTTCAAAGACAAAGGTCCTCTGGCTGGGTCGGGACGCCATGGGGTTGGGGGGCCAACTCCCATCTCTTGGGAGTTAGCACCCGCCTTCTGTCAGAAGTCTGGGCATAACCTTCGACACCTCCCTCTCTATGGAGGCGCAGGTTGCAGCTACAGCAAAGGCGGCATTTTTCCACCTTCACCGTGCTAAGCAGTTGGTCCCTTACCTTTCCCGCCCTGATCTTGCCCCTGTGATCCATGTGACAGTCACCTCCAGATTTGATTATTGTAATTTGCTCTATGTGGGGCTGCCCGGGAAGCTGACCCAGAAACTCCAGTAGGTGCAGAATGCTGCAGTGAGGCTCCTTATGGGGTCCTCGCCACAGAATCACATTCATCCAGTGCTATACCAGCTGCACTGACTCCCGGTGGAGTACAGGATCAGGTTTAAGGTGCTGGCTTTGACCTTTAAAGTCCTATACAGCCTAGGACCCTCGTACCTACGGGACCGCCTCTCCTGGTATGCCCCGCAGAGGAGCTTACGGTCAGCAAACAATGACACCTTGGAGGTCCTGGGCCTCAAGGAGGTTAGGCTGGCCTCGACTAGGGCCAGAGCCTTTTTGGCCCTGGCCCCAACCTGGTGAAACGCTTTGTCACAAGAGACCAGGGCCCTGCAGGACTTGATATCTTTCTGCAGAGCCTGCAAGATGGAGCTGTTCCGCCAGGCCTTTGGTCAGGGCCCAGTCTGACCCCCCCCCCTTTTACAAAACCCTGCATGTAAGTGGCCTCTCTAACTCTTCTCACCGGCTCATATGAGACCAACACAAATAGCTGGGCCTGGTGAGCACTTAATGTTCCCAACCCCTACAGTTATAATTCGTGGGTTGCCATCTGATTTTATTCTGAGTTTAAATCTGATTTTAAGCTGTATTTTAATTGATTGTCTGTTTTTATGTTCTAATGTATTATATACTTTGATGTTAGCCACCCTGAGCCCGGTCTTGGCAAGGGAGGGTGGGATACAAATAAAATATATTATTATTGTTATTGTTATTATTGTTATTGTTATTATTATACACTCTTCTTTTAAAAGAGTCTGAAGAAATCCAGTTCCTAGCAGCTTGATTATAACTCAGTTGGCATGCACAATTGTTGACTCATATTGTTCCCGTCCTGTTGGTGTCTTAACAAAACAGCTGAGTCATCCCTTCAAACCCCTTTTTGGTTTAGA